TTAGCTGATCATCATTCAGTGATACTTCACTTAAGAGATTGATATTTTAAATTTGCATGCACATTTCATCGAATTGTTTTGTCTGTTGTATCGCGTATACTTGCTCATTTTGTGTGTCGGCCACTTGCTGGTGCGTGCGGCATTTACGCGATAATAGATCCGCAATGAATATTTCTTTACCTTTTTTGTACGTCAGTATGATATCGTATCGCTGTAGGCGTAGCATCATGCGTTGCACTCTTTTTGTCGCTTGCGCAACCGGCTTGTTGAAAATGTTGACAAGAGGTTGATGATCCGTTTCGACTTCGAAGCCTGCCTTGCCACACACGTACTGATCAAAACGAGTGCATGCGAATACGATTGCTAAGCACTCTTTCTCAATTTGTGCATATTTTTGTTCTGTCGCTGAGAGTATTCTCGACGCATACATCACTGGACTGCTCCGAGACCGAAACTACTAGCATCGCACTCGATCTGGACGTTTTCATCGACGTCATAGAATTGAAGCACTGGCGTTGCTGTGGTGAGCTGTTTAAGTCTCTCGAATGCATGCTGTTGCTCGCGTCCCCACTGGAATTCAACGTTCTTTTTTGTGAGCCTTCTCAGCGGCTCGCACACCTCCGAAAGTAGCCCATAGTAGCTGACTTGTCTTAGCCCCACTCTTGCTTTCTTGCGATTTAGCTTCATCCCTGCTTTTTGTAATGTTTGCAATGTATTGCGTAGTTTCTCATTATGGTCTTTTATTGCTTCGTTGAGCGTTTTTCCTCTGCCAAATATCAAAATGTCATCAGCTAACACTATTCTCCTGGGACTCCCTACAAGATTTCGACTTGCCAGTTTTGTTAAATTTCTGGAGCTGGCGTAATCCCAAACGGCAGTCTTAACCATCGATATCGACCGAATGGTGTCCAGAACGTCGTTAGATGACTGGACGGCTCGTCTAGCTTTAGCTGCCAAAATCCATTTCTTTCGTCTAAAGTGGTGAATATTTTCGCATCCTTGAGTTCGGGCAATATTTCTTCGATGGTTGGTATCTGAAAAGGCGAGCTTTATTTAATTCGAACGGGTCTATACATCACCTGGTTTTGCCGTTTCTTCTGACGATAAGACAGTTGCTTGTCCACGGTGTGTGCTTGTCGACTTTTTCAATTATTTTCCGTTTTTGAAGATCTCGTAGCAAGTCGTGCAATTCATTACGTACGGCGATTGGAATTCTGCGTGGTTGCTGCTGTATCGGTTTGGCGCTTGGATCCACCTCTAAATGTACTTCTCCCTCGATGAGACC